AATCTGTTTGTCACTTCCAGTGTATAATCATAAGGGATTTGATTTAGGTCATACCTGACTTGCCTAGTGGTTTTCCCTACTTTCTTCAATTTAAGTCTTTATTTTCCACTAATAAGACTTCCCTAATAAGACTATTTAATTGACAGTTGTCTCATCAGTAATCATATGCAACCATTCCAAGGTCAGTAACCTATGTTTATTTTTTAAATGTGTATTTGTACAAAAAATAGTAAGCAAGAGAAACCAATAGATTATACTGATAAATGACAAATGTTAGAGTTTAAACTAAAGGCAGTCCTCCCTTGGGATTCTAGGTCACGCAGATTTTGCTGGACTCTGGCTCACGTTACCTGCATATTCCCTTCCAAACAGTCCTGAACTCTATTCCATTGTCTTTCCTTTCCATTGTTTGAGTCTATTTCTTGTCTTTTCAAACACATTATAACTTCATTGAGAAGTAAAATGTATTTTATGAATTTTTGTACCCATCACACTAGCTTGCACATAATAGGTTATTTCATTGGTTGATTAAAATACAGCTAGTAAAAATACTTGAAAGTGAAAGAAAATAGTGTTTTCTGGAAAATCAATTATTATTGTTTATTATTCAAGATATATGAAATTATGTTTATTTCAATTATATAACTAAGCTTATCATTCAGTTTTTTCTTTTATTCACTAAAAAGTATTTTCTATTTTTTAATATCTTATATTTGCATTTTTATATTAAAACATATTTTTCCTATTCTCATGCACATACTTGTGTGCCCACAAAACTATAAAGTGAGAATAGTTGCCTTATAGGAATGAAAGAATTTGCATATTTCCAAACTCATCAAGGGTCTACCCTGATACCTCAGTTGGTAAAGAATCTGCCTGTAATACAGGAGACCCTGGTTTGATTCCTGGGTCGGGAAGGTCTGCTGGAGAAGGGATAGGCTGCCCACTCCAGTATTCTTGGGTTTCCCTTGGGTTCAGCTGGAAAAGAATTGGCCTGCGATGCAGAATACCTGGGTGTGATCCCTGGGTTGGGAAGGTACCCTGGAGAAGGGAACGGCTACCCACTGCAGTATTCTGGCCTGGAGAATTCCATGGATTCTTTAATACATGGGGGAGTCGCAAAGAATCGGACAGGACTAAGCGACTTTCACTTTCAAACTCATCAAAATGTACACTTCAAATAAATGTAATTTTATATAACAATTACACCTCAACAAAGCTATTTTTTATAAAGTAGATAATTAAGGCTTGAAAGAAGTGAAAAGTGAAAGTGTTAGTAGCTCAGTCCTTTCTGTCTCTGTGACCCCATGGACTGTAGCCCACCAGGCTCCTCTATCCATGGAATTCTTCTCTGGAGTCAGTTGCCATTCCCTCTCCAGGGATCTTCCTGACCCAGGGATTGATCCCCAATCTCCTGCATTAGAGGAAGATTTTTTACCATCTTAACCACCAGGGCAGCTCAATTAAGGCTTGTAAAAGCTAAATAACTTGTCACATTATAAATATATAATAAGTATCTATGCCAGGTTTATCCAGTTCTAAAGCACACATGATTCTCTATGAATCTTTAATAAAAATGTTTAGTAAAAATAATGTAATATTATCCACTTGAGCACATTAAACAAATTAAATTATTTTGCCACATTCTTTCTTGTATAGATTCAGAATTATTGATCTTAACACATAAACACCAAAGTGTTTTACTAGGTACCATAGACTGGAATCAACTCAGTTGAAAGTTTTAGAAATTCTTAAAAAAAAAAAAAGCAAAATTTCACCAAGGAAATGTTTAAAAGAGAAATGTCATCTGGGATTCATTCAGTGCCTATGAGGAACATTTTAAATTATTTAGAGCTTGCTGCACATTTTTTAAATTGGAAATCAAGCAGATTTCCATTCATTTTTGCTCAACCAATGCTTCTGTTTTTCTTCACAAACACATACCAGGTTGTTGCTTTGGCTAGAATTAAACAAACACAGGTGCTAAAATTATCAGTTTCCTCATATTTTTTTCTATGTACTTGTGCTATGGAAAGTCATTAAGTCTCTGTAAAAGACACATTTCCCCAATCCATTATACCTAAAGAAACTGCCAGGCAAAATGTACTGCCAACATATGAGCCACTGAAGACTCCCCATATGTATTTTGCAGGCAGGTGTTTCATGTGCAGTTTGCCAGAAGCAAACTGTTTTTCAGGTGCATAGAGAATATCATCTTTATACAAAAAAGGAACAATAATAACTACTCCTAGTAGAGTTCTTTTCCCAATGGGTGAGCATTGTAGAATTGTTACACAAAGGACTGAATTAAAGATACAATATTTGGCATCCTACGCTCACCCATCCAATAGGGTTCCAAGTTAGTTACTCATCCCAGAATTGATGGAGTCAGAATGCCAGAAGATGAGGGTAAACTTGGTTAAAGTACCTTTTATGTAAAATACAGTGATTTTTCCATACCCCTGTGTGTGAAGTGCTGTTTTATTTACTTGATAAATCGCAAAACTGTGGCTCAGATTTTATGCAGCTTTTCCAAAATCACACAGTTCATTAAGGTGTATCAGACTTCATGCCAAAGTCAGTGTGACTGGAAAACCTAATTTTAGTGATTTGAATTCTGCTTTGGTCTCTATTCTCTTATTCTTGGAGCTCCCTCAGATTGGAATACTTCAGCTGACTTGAAGTAAAGTGACCATTTTAGATCCTTTTGTTTGCTTAATTCTGTCCAAAGCAACCTGATATGCCTTTGTGAGTAAAAGTAGAAACATTGATAGTGAACAAGATTGTGCCATTTTATGGAAAGACTGGCAAAAATGACCTATAAGATTTCTACTTTCCTAATATTTTATTGAAATATTGAGTTTAGAGATCAAATTACCACTGAGGTGCTGTTGATTTGATTCATTTTTTTCTTTCTTCCGTGGTGAACATGTACTGTGGCTGCTGCTGATAAGTTGCTTAAGTCATGTCCGATTCTGTGCGACCCCATGGACAGCAGCCCATCAGGCTTCCCCGTCCCAGTAATCTAATAGAAATTTCTATTAGACTTCTAGTTGTGTTAACATAAAGTCTAATAGAAATTTCTATTAGATTATTGTCCTAAAGTTATATATATCTGTATATCTTTATATCTATATAAAGTTACATATATCCATTAATAATCATTATATCTTACATAGTATCTCAAAATACAAGATGTACCACCCAACCAAAAATGAAAAAATCCTGGGCCAACCCAACGAAAAGAAGCCAAAAAAAAAAACAATTTAGCACAGGATATCAGTTGATTGGACTTAATTTCTAACCTGTTTTCACTTACAAACTGTGACAATAACTGTGTAAAATAATTTTTATTTTAGTTATATTTTCTACTTTGTGAGCTTCAGATTTCTACCTCAGTGGATTATTTTCAACATCAATGAGATAATAAATCTAAATAGCTAATGATAATACAGTTCTTATTGTCAAATACATTATGATGCAAATAAATGCTTGTCTTTTTCATTGCAATGAGAATTTATATGTCTAGATTTCACCTGCATTCTGAAAAAATCTGAGAATGAAAATATATAAAACTGAAAAAATTAAACATTAAGACCCTCAATTCACACACATGAGTATTTGTTTTTTCAAAAAATAAGACACAAGTGTCTATTCACCAAGTGACACTGGTGAGCTTTGTATGAAAACAATGCTGGCAGCCTCTGCCTCATTCTTAGGCTTATATTTTGGAGGATCACAGAGCTGAATCTAGTGACCTAGGACCAGGCCCAATGTAGGACTTGAGGCAGTTTTATTTTAGTTTAAAGATTATGCAAATTCCCATGGAATATGATAAACTTGACAGTACATAGCCCCATATAATGCTCTGCATCCTCTCTATTTTTTGTTTTCATACATTCTACTTCTAAATATTTTATATAGTCCATAATACTTGGTTTTCACATTCACATTAGAAACAGATACTTATTTAAATAAATTAAAAACATAACCATGTGGGTTAAATTAACCCACAGTTTTACTATTTCCTTTGCTTTTCATCTCTTTCAACTGGTGTGGGCTTCCGTCTGGAATAAATTTCTTTCATGTCTCAAGAAATTCCTTTAGTCAATTTTTAATTTTATCTTTTGCATTATTTAGTTTCAGAGTTGCCTTTGGTTCTTATTTGAAAATATCTTCCTTCTTTCTGCTGAAATTTTCCTTCTGTTCATTCATCTTGTTCATCTTGACCTCTTCCGAATCACTGGCAAATTTTTAATAATTTATGATAGTTAAAATTTGTGTTTTTAGTCCAACCTATGGATTATTTCTGGTCAGCAATTTTTTTGACTCTTATTTATGTTGATTATGGATCATATTTTCTTGCTTCTTTGTATATGGTGGTTTGTTTTTAAATTTTATTTATGCTAGATATTATGGGTAAAAGAAAAAGGATGAAAAACCCTCCCCCAACCCCCAAAAGGAAAAAGGCAAGTTGGAATTTTGCCAAGGGAACAATTGGAAAAAACAAAAATGGGAATGGTGACCCAAAAAGCAAAAGAAAGCAATTTTTTTTTTCAGTACACAGCCAAATAAATTTTTATCTAAGTAGAAACCTTAGCAATCTCTCGAATGATGACATTGTTCCTGTTCTGACAGTCAGAACATTAGAATATATTACTCAACTATTCATTTTTTCTGTTTTTTTTTCCCCCAAAGAGGTAAAAATTAGAATCTCAGTGTTGCCCCATTTGATCTCCATTTTAGTTCTCATAAAATATCAGTGATAGTCCTCTCTTTACACATTGCAAATGCTTGCATTTTTTTCACACTCTAAGCAGACTCTGTCAGAGAGATAAGGCAAAAGAAAGAGGAGGAGAGATGAGAGAAAGATCAGAGAGATCAAAAGTATGAGGACTTGATCTGTCACTGCTGGCTCTGAATGTCATGGAAGGGACCATGAGTCAGAGGATACAGGTGGCCTCCATAAACTGAGTACAACCCCTCTCAACTGTCTGCAGGAAACACAGGCTGGAGTCCTACAATCACACAAAATTCTGCCAACAATCTAAATGAACCTGGAGCATCTCCTGATAAGATCTGAGTTTTGTGAGACCCACTGCAGAGAAACTACTGGAACCCCTGAACTTCTGACCTTCTGAACTGTGAGATAATACATTTTCATTGTTTGAGCTACTACATTTATCATAATTTATTTTGGTGAGTTTTTCAAGAAAAGGAAAATAATTTGAAGACTTTTTTTTTTTTTAACATAGTTGAATCTTTGAGAGAAAAATAATAGCTAAAGGGAAAGGATAACTTACAATACAATAAATTACGGTTTCTATCTATTTATAGAAGTGCTATAGAGAGGATCATAAAATGGAATATTTGGAAATAATGGAAGAGATTTTCATAGCATAAGCTGTTAGGATTTAAGATGAGAGTTCATATAATTTCTACTATAAGACTATATATTGATGCTTTTTAAAATTAATTAATTTATTTTAATTGGAGGCTAATTACTTTATAATATTGTAGTGGTCTTTTGCCATACATTGACATGAATCAGCCATGGGTGTACATGTGTCCCCCATCCAGGACCTCCCTCCCACCTTCCTCCCCATCCCATCCCTCAGGGTTGTCATAGGGCACTGGCTTTGAGTGCCCTGATTGATGCATCGAACTTGGACTGGTGATCTATTTCACATATGGTAATATACGTGTTTCAAAGCTATTCTCTCAAATCATCCCACCCTCATCTTTCTCCTATAAGAATATACAGTGATACTTTTAAGAATAAAACAAAAACAAAACTGGGTGCAAATGAAAGTCACTATAGTTTAAGAGGTCAAGGAAATGAGGCCAATGAATTAGGTGAATCCAATAATGAGCAGTGAAATATCCTAGCTTTTGAGATGTAGAGGAAATTGTGAGACAGAAGGCAAAGCCTCAGCAACAATGTTGGGATGAATAGGAATTTTGGTAGAAAAAAAAGAGAGAGAGAGAATTGTTTGTAAAGTCAAATGATAAAATTCACAGTACAAAGATGTTTATACCAGAATTTTTCAAACAAAAAGACGTTTCCCATGTTTTAGCATGCTGTTAGCATTTCTATTTCCAGAAATTTTAGTTTATGAAACTTTGCAGGAGATGATTTTTTGTGTGTGAATGTGTTGAGTGTTGGTCGATCAGTCTTGTCTGACTCTTTGTGAATCCATGGACTGTAGCTCAGCAGGCTCCTCTGTCCATGGGATTCTCCAGGCAAGAATACTGGAGTGGGTAGCCATTCCCTTCTCCAGGGGATCTTCCAGACCAGGGATCGAACTTGGGTCTCCTGCATTGGAGGCAGATTCTTTACTGTCTGAGCGACCAGGGAAACCTATTGTATCTATGTAGGTTAATTTAAATTAAATGGTAAGTGCAATTGACAGACACTTCTGGATGATGATTTCAAAATCACTAATACAAATTGAAGTTTTAAGAGATTTCTATTAGATTTTGCTTAAATTTTAATATTTTTTTAAATAAGAAATTTGAGAAATGTATTCTGGTTGAGAGCTTTCTTTATATCCATGGCGTCAAACTTCTCTCATGAAAACACCTTCGCTTTAAATTATAGTATCTTTTTGGCTCTTCAACCCTATGGAATCTGTCAGAATTTGGTACAAAAAACAAAAATTACTCTAGATATTTTAAAATATAAAAGTCTCTAGTACAGAATTTGGATACTTATACAATTTTTGAAATGAGGAAGAATAAAAAATTTAGGTTTTTCCTAATTCTGCTTCAAGGCCCCTACCACAGTAGCTTCACTCAAGAGATTTGGAAAAAAAACCTTTGCCTTTTTTAAACCCAGCTTGGACATCCAGGTTTAGATCCCTAGCCCTAGTCAGTTGAATTAGGAATAATTAAAGTTTACACTCCTAGATAGCTTTTTAGATTTATAATGATGACTAAAAATAAAACTAAAATATATTTAACCTACTCCAAATTTTAATTTGTTTTTAATTGTCCATATTCCATCTGAGTAGTTTTAAAATGTTCATATCTTCAAAGTTTCTACTAATTCTTTATTTTACTGTAGTGGCATACTAGAGTGTAAAATGGCCTGTACTTTCTATATGACCTTTTCCAATTACTCTCATGGATCACCCTCTGACTCTACTTGGGCAAATACACAACCACCTAAATTTTCAGGGTATATTTCCTTTAATTTTGTGAATAATCATTTCTCTCACATGAAAAAATAATTTATGAACAATAAAAATAATTCATGATTCTGGAGATCATTTAATCAAGAATTCACAATCTAGAGGAAAGCCATTCCAATAAGAACCTCTGTTTCGTGTTTTTACTATAAAGGAATAAACTGTACTAAATGGACTTCTGGCCATGACTGAGGGAAGAGGGCAGGGATACACAGCCCAGTCATAATTAATGCAAATTTAAAAATGCAAGTTCTAATGGATAAAGAATATATGGTATATGTGTGTGTGTGAGTGCATGCTAAGTCATGCTTGACTCTTTGAAACCCCAAGTACTGCAACCCCCAGGCTCTTCTGTCCATGGAATTTCCCTGGCAAGCATACTGGAGTGGGATGCCATTTCCTTCTCTAGGAGATCTTCTTGACCCAAGGATTAAACCCACGTCTCTTGCATTGACAGGTGTGTTCTTTACCACTGAGCCACCAAGGAAGCCATTACTTAAGCAGGGGAAGCAGGGGAAGGACTGGGGATTGGGTTAATACATGCAAACAATTATGTATGATAAATAAACAACAAGATCCTACTGTATAGAACAAGGAACTACACTTAATATGCTAATAAGTCATAATGAAAAATAAAATTTAAAAGAATATATATATGTATATCTATTACTTTGCTGTGCAGCACAAATTAAAACATTATCAATCAACTACATTTCAATAGATTTTTTTAAAAAAAACAAGTTTTCAGAATAACAAGACACATTTTGCAAGTATAAAAAATGAAGATTTAAAATGTATCTCAAAACAGACTTTTGATAGGGAAGGAAATTAGTGTGTGATTGTATTAAATGTGAATAAATAAGGAAACAAAATCACACATGGGCTTGTCCAGGGCCAAATATGAAATGTTCAATAAACTAAATGATATGATTAAACCAAATTTCTGTATCAGAGATCAGAAAATAATCAAAACAATTGTTTGTATATCAGTTGAGTTTATTTCACCATTATTACAGTTTAGTATCATGGATGCCCACTTTATTTCTGAGTTAGTACTTATTGAATTTCTATATGTGCGTAGCATTTTGCTTTAAAAGTAACTGAATAACCAGTCTTTTCTACAGTAAAAATGTTATGCATATTATTGTTCATTTTGGTTCCATTGACTAGAAAACTCAGTAGCTCAAATGTTACTATTTCTAAATGAATGTGTTTTCAAATAAACACAATTTAAAGTACTTTCATAATTTTATAATAAAGAGAAGCATATTTAAAATGTTTATACTGAAAATTAACAATTTATTTGAAAAAAAATATGAGTACCATAACTAAGGAAAAAATGTATACTGCAACCATATACACTCTTAATGAAATTTTAGTGAAGAATGATTTACAAAAAATGTCTTCCTGGCATTTATAATTTGAAAGCAGTTATTAAGTTGAAGCATATAGAATTGCATTTAAAGTTCAAAAACAGTTGAGTATGGCAGTCTCATATGGTTTACTACTTTTAGTAGGAATTCTGCTGAGTCACAACACACCAAGAGTGAAAGGCAAATAGCACAAAGATGTCAGAAACACAGTAAAATACTATCTGGACTACTAGTGATGAGTATTTATTAAATATCCTCATTAACAGAGGAGACAGCAATTAAGCTGTTACTCTTATAATCTTGAACAGTCAGATCCCTAAAAAAGTCAAATGCATATGCTCTATTTCTATAATGCATATCCTGACTCCATATTAAAATGATTTTATTCAATTACAACAAGGTATGATATTGTTGATCTTATAAAATTACACCCATTGTTGGGTTAAAAATAAGTATTCAGAGAGTTTGTAAGATATTAGATAAAATTATTATTGCCCTGAATATTTATTTTAGAATTTACTGAGCTTTTTTCCTTAAACCTCTTTTGAAATATACTTAGAATGCCACTCTTAAATTCACAGCTACTATTTTTGTTGCATTTTATCTTTTTAAGAATAGACTCTAGAAAGATGACCTACATTTACAAGATACTCAATAAAAGATAAACCACTTAATTCAAGTCTGTAATCATCACATTTAAAATATTTAATCCAAAATTAATAAGCAAGCCATTTCACAGGAAGATATAAGAAATATATTTAAATAATTTTCCATTTTCCACTGTTATACTCACTGTCTCTTTAGTTCTAAGGCTCCAAGAAGAGGTTTTTGACATGGAGTTGAGACAGAGACCAATTCATTAATCCAATGTAGTCTGTAAAATTGTGGGAAATCAAGAATTATAGTAAGGCTATTGATAATGATTTCAGATAAATCACCAATGGAACACAAAAGTAAATACTTAAAATCTTATATTTATGAGAGTAAATAATATAGAGATATATAAACAGCAGAAAACTGGCAGTAATAATTAAGGATTTCCCTGGTAGCTCAGATGGTAAAGAATCTACCTGCAAGACAGGAGATTTATCCTTAAACCTCTTTTGAAATATACTTAGAATGCCAGTCTTAAATTCACAGCTACTATTTTTGTTGCATTTTATCTTTTTAAGAATAGACTCTAGAAAGATGACCTACATTTACAAGATACTCAATAAAAGATAAACCACTAAATTCAAGTCTGTAATCATCACATTTAAAATATTTAATCCAAAATTAATAAGCAAGCCATTTCACAGGAAGATATAAGAAATATATTTAAATAATTTTCCATTTTCCACTGTTATACTCACTGTCTCTTTAGTTCTAAGGCTCCAAGAAGAGGTTTTTGACATGGAGTTGAGACAGAGACCAATTCATTAATCAAATGTAGTCTGTAAAATTGTGGGAAATCAAGAATTATAGTAAGACTATTGATAATGATTTCAGATAAATCACCAATGGAACACAAAAGTAAATACTTAAAATCTTATATTTATGAGAGTAAATAATATAGAGATATATAAACAGCAGAAAACTGGC